AGCTTCCAGACTAAGATAGACTACCAAGCCTGGTGATCATCCTCCAAAAACTTAGCCATTGAAAACCAAGTGGCTCACAGAAGATTGTTCGAGCCTTCAACTCACTTAGTTTGGACACATTAGGAGAGACAAATCTCTGGAGAAGAACATCATGTTTGGTAAAGTAGAAAGCCAATGAAGATGAGGGAAACTGTCAATGATATGGATTCACACAATGATCATAACAATGAACTCAAATGTATCAAATATCATGAAGATGCCACAGGACCAGGCAACATTTCTCTCTGTTATACATGGGGTCACCATGAGTCTGAGCCAGTTAGGCCATAACTAACAACAATAGCATAGTGCCTAAGGCATTTGATGCTAACTAGAAGGCTGGCGATTCAAACCCATCAGCAACTCCTCGGAAGGAAGGCTGGGCAATCTACTTCCGTGTGATACCACTTCAGAAACCCAAGGAGGGGTCACTATGAGTCAGGTCCCACTCAGGGCACATAACAACAACAATACCATACTAGAGTTGAAGAAACTTTGCCTTCAGGTATCAAAGTCAAGCTGGCTTACCTTGGGGTAATATTAATATGGCTCTTATCATTGCTGCATACAAAATGGTCAGCTACAATTCAAACCATTTTGGCAGTTGCCTACTTTTCTTATGTACAATAATGGCTCAGTATTTTCAGATAAACACAAAACTAAACTTTGATTTATCATATAAGCAATTTGAAAACATTCTTTTAAACAAGTTGTTTATATAAATGAAATCTAAATAAACTCAGCTATTGCTGCCTGTATTTGAGTTATCTAATTATATTTGGAGTCAGATAAACTTGGCTACGTCTAACCTAGGGAAACAAAAATAGAGCTGGTTAGTTATTTAAACTGCCCACTTGTTGCTCAGAAAAGTTTCAACTAAGTTGGAGAGGCACTTTCAATGGGAGAAAACTTCATTCTCATAGGCTTGAGTTGATGTAATAGGAGACAATGATATAGTGATACTTGCATTAATAAAACTTCTAAGGCAAAAACCTACTTGTAGGAAAGTTACCATAAGAATAAATGTGTTTGTGGGAAGCAATGGTTCTCTCAGTACTGGATTAAAAGTTCTGTTAGTTAAGAAAGAAATAAGAATCAGAGTCAGAGGTCTCAGTCCAGAATTTTCACAGATAAGAGATAATGGTCTGAGTCAGATTAAATAAGTGGCTGGAATTCTGGGGATATGAACTGGTCATCTGGGAGTAGAAGGGGTCATCATAAACTGACATATACTGGAACATACTTTCATATTTTACTTAGATTTCTGGTAAAGACATTTCTGATTGCCAGGAACTTTATTCAAAATTGTGTGTTTGTGATTTGGTTTCATAAGGAAATTGATAAGACTAATTACAGAAGTAGAGATAAGAACAGGAACCATCCTTTAAATGTGATGGTTAATTTTATGTGTCAACTTGATTTGGCTATGATTCTCAATGATTTGACCAGATACTGGGCTGGTTGCTGTTCCATAACATCATGTCACGTCATGTCATTACTATCCATGATGTGATCTGATGTGATCAGCCAATTAGTTGAAAATGGAATGTTCTTGGCCATGTGGTCTGCCTTCAGACTACAAATGGATGTTCTGACAGAACTCCTTTCTCTCAACGCTGCATTTGTCTTGTCATCTGACCTTTGGTTGCTGGGACGTAAGTCTGCAGAAATCTCAGCTCTAGCCTGCAGATATAGATTCACCAACTCCCAAAATCACAAAAGCAAGCAGAAGTCTATAGCTTGCTGCCTGACCTATGCATTTGAGAATTGCCATCCCCCACCACTATGTGAGTCATTTCCTTAAAGTAAATCAATCTCTCCCCTTTTCTCTTCTCCTTCCCTCCGCTCCCTTACCCTCCCGTCTTCCTTCTCCTCCTCTTCTTCATCTTCTCTCTCTTTCTCTCATTGGTTTTGTTCCTCTAGAGGATCCAACAAACTACTGGACCACCCTGTCACAGTCCTCTTGTTGTTGCTGTTGTTATGTGCCATTGAGTCAGACCCAACTCATAGCGACCCCTCCTTGGGTTTCTGAGGCAGTATCACTATGGAAGTAGATTGACCCATCTTCCTTCCGAGGAGTGGCTGGTGTGTTTGAACTGCCAGCCTTCTGGTTTGCAGTCAAGTGCCTTAGGCACTACGCTACCAGAGCTCCCTCACAGTCCTCTTACTGACAGAAATATCAAAAGATGGTGCATGGTAAAGTATCATTGTTCTCTTTTGTCTATTCTAAAAGTTTGACTGAATCTGCCTTCCCTTGTTGTTGTAGTTGTTACGTGCTGCTGAGTCAGCTGCAACTCATAGTGATCCTATGTATAAAAGATGGAAACACGGCATGGTCCTGTGCCATCCTCACAATTTTTGCTATGCTTGAGCCCACTGTGGCAGCCACTGTGTGCATTCATCTCTTTGAGAGTCTTCCTCTTTCTGCTGACCCTCTACTTTATCAGGAATGATATCCTTCTCCAGGGACTGGTCCCTCCTGATAACATGACCAAAGTATGAGAGACAAGTCTCACCATCCTCTCTTCTAAGGAGCATTCTGGCTGTACTTCTTCCAAGAGAGATTTGTTTGTTTTTCTAGCAGTCTATGTATGGTACATTAAACATTCATCACCAACACCATAATTCAAATGCATCAACTCTTCTTCAGTCTTCTATATTCATTGTCCAGATTTCACATGCGCATGAGGTGATTAAAAATACCATGGCTTGGGTGAGGCACATCTTAGTCTCCAAAGTGGCATCTTTGCTCTTGAACACTTTAAAGAGGTCTTTTGCAGATTTTCCCAGTGCAATATGCCATTTGATTTCTTGACTATTGCATCCATGGGCATTGATTGTGGATCCAAATGAAATGAATACCTTTAGTAGGGTTTTAATGCATCTATCATCTTTAAAGTTGTTCAAATCCTGTATCTATTTTTGTGATAATGGGTTCTATAAACACCCCTTCATGTTGTTTACCTAGCTTACTTCACTTTTGTTTGAAAGAATATCCCCTCTTCTATTTACTTCAGATTTGAGAAAGAGACAGAACAAGTCCATCTTTGACTCTAGTCCATCTCAGTGTCCTAAAGCATGGTCTAAAGCATGCTTTTGTTGTTGTTGTTGTTATGTGCCGTCGAGTCGGCCCCGACTCATAGCGACCCCTCCTTGGGTTTCTGAGGCAGTATTACTACGGAAGTAGGATTGCCCAACCGTCCTTCCAAGGAGTGGCTGGTGGGTTTGAACCGCCAGCCGTCTGGTTAGCAGGCAAGTGTCTTAGCCACTATGCTACCAGAGCATAAAGAAGATCTGTAATGTATATTGGTTTAGCCTGCCCCATACCTTGCTCCTCATCTTGTTTATTTTGGACTTTCTCACCTGCTGAACTGGTTGCTTATTCTACCATGATGTCTGTCTCCTGAATATGAACTCTTCCATCATTTTAACATATCATCTCTCTCTTTTCTAGCACTGAACTTGGGAATCATCTTGGGAAACATATTATCTGGCATGACTTACTTGCAGGTATAGTCCTTCCTATTTAACATGTTTGACCTTCTCCTTCACCAGCCCATACTCCTTGACCATCCAATTAACTTACCCCTGACTCCCAGAAAAAACTATTGGACTATTCACCTTGTCTAGATCACTCATTATGTTATGAATTACAATCTTGAATCCATTATGATTTACATAAGTCAGATTCTAAATACATCATCACACAAGAACTGAAAACAAGCCAGGCAAAATTGGACTACATGTTTTTATTCTTTAAATCAGGTGACAGGCCAACCAAATTGTATACTTTTGGGAATGAATAAGTGAGGCAATACCATGTGGGAGGGGAAGGATGGCAAAAGGTGTCTCAAATATTTGATGCATAGGGGGAGTTTACCACAGATCATCAAGACAATTTATGAACTTTCTGACGATGTAAATTCACTTAGTTTTTGTCACTACTGATTCCTTTTCAAGTAAGATGATAGAACATATTTATTTCTACACATCTCTTTTGAATATAATTTTTATTTATTTATTTTTTAAATAATTTTCCTGTCCTAGGAAACCATTTTAGAGTTTCCATTCTTTATTATTAATTACATAGGCTTTATTCACCACTCCAGTTGTGACCATAGTAGCCATCACAAGCAAAGGTTATGCATCAAAACAAACATGTATCTCTATGTAGCACCAGAGCACCTCTCTCAATCTGCCAGTCAACAAGCTTTTATTGAGGACCTATTATATGTCAAGGGAGCTCTGCTAGCGTAGTGCCTAAGGCACTTGATTGCTAAGCAGAAGGCTGGCAGTTAAAACCCACCAGCCACTCCTCGGAAGGGAGATGGGGCAATCTACTTCCGTAGTGATACTGCCTTGGAAACCCAAGGAGGGGTCGGTATGAGTCAGGTCCAACTCGACAGCACATAACAACAACAACAATAACCATACGTCAAACACTATTCTAGACACTTAGAGATACAATAGAAAATAAAGCACTTAAAGATCCTTTGTTACCTTATATTTTCTGATGGAGAAAAACAATAAATAAGGTAGAAAAATGAAATGTACAGTATATCAGTGATAAAAGCTAAAGAGGAAAAACAGGAAAGGGAAATAGGTTGGCCAAGCAAGTCCTCAAAGAAAACGTGACATTTATGTAAAAGTCTGAAGGAAAGGAGGAAGGCAACCTTGCAAACATCTGTCAGAGGAATACTCCAGGCAAGAGGAACAGGAAATACAAAGGCCCTGAACTGTGAACAGGGAAGAGGACAGTGAACCGGGAGAGGAGTGAGGAATAAGGAGACCAGCAAGAGGAGATCAGAAGGGCTGGAGGGTGGAGAAAGGTTAAGTGCAGACTACCGGGTCACAGAAAGGGTTGTAGATTGTCTTCTGAGTGAAATGAGAAGCAAATACTGTGTTTTAGGGAGGAAGACAGTTTATGTTTTAAGATGATCACTCTGGTTGCTAAGTTGATAATGGTACTGAAGGGAGTAATGAAAGAAACAGGCAATTTAGAAGTTTGTTACAGCAATTCAAGCAAGAGACAAGAGACGCTGGTGGCTTGGACAATAATTTTGGCAGGGGAGAGGTGAGATGAGGTCAGATTCTGGGTATATTAGATAGAACTAAAGGGATTTTGGCAGTCAAGATGTTAAGTGTGAGAGACAGAGAAGTGAAGAAAATAAATTGCACAAATGTGTACCCCACCACCTGCCTGTCAATCTGTGATTCTGTGGAGGCTTCTGTGTTGCCTTGATGTCACTGGTATAACTTCAAGTACCAGCAGGGTCCCCCATGGTGGGCAGGTTTCAGCAGAGCTTCCACACTAAGACAGACTAGGAAGAAAGGCCTGGTGATGTACTTCTGAAAATTAGCAATGAAAACCTATGGATCACAATAGAACATTATTTGATTCACTTTCTTTAGATATCACCAAGAAAGACCATTTACTAGAGGGGAATCGTAATGGTGAAGGAGCCCCTCAATGGAATGGAATGGCACAGTAGCTAGACTAAAGGACTCAAACATGCCAGTGATTGTGAGGATGACACAGGACCAGGCAGCATTTTGTTCTGTTGTACATAAAGTCATCATGAGGTGGAGTCAATACAACAGCAACTAACAGCAACGACACCAGCAACAACAATGGTGTGTTAATGATAAATGGATTTTTGTCATGAAGAAGAATGAAGAATATTAGGTAGTATCTTTAATCTTTGTGAGGATTCATTCAACATGATTAACTATTATCTTCTCTACACATATCCACTGCTCGTCTGTCAATTTGTTGTACTGTGGCAGCTTACACGTTGCTATGATGCTGGGAAGCTATGTCACTAGGATTTCAAATACTAGCAGGGTCATGCATGATGGACAGGTTTCAGTGAGGCTTCTGGCCTAAGCAGACTAGGAAGAAGGAGGTGGTGGTCCACTTCTGAAAAAATTGGTCACTGAAACCTGTATGACTAGCAGTGTAACATTGTCTGATATAATGTCTCCATGCCCTAGGTACCAGAAACACATTAGTAAACAAGATGGGCAGAAATTTTAGCTCTTGAGTAGTTTACACTCTAGAGAAGGAGACAAATAGTACATATATGATCTGTCAGATGACATTAAGTACTAAAGGGGGAAAAACACAAGGCAAGGAGATAGAAAGCACTGGGACATTTCATACTTAGTTCTCACAACTTGTTCAAGTAATTTATGGGATTTTTTCCTTTGTCTATTCCTATTTAACATCTTAATAGTTGGTATTCATTCTATCAATTTGACTACCAATAAAAGGTAATATGGGACATTCTTCTTGTTATTAGCTGCTGTTAAGTCGAACCCTGATTCATGGCAACCCTGTGGGCAACAGGGTCAGCCCCTTGGGCTCTACAGGATTTTTTCAGTAGCTGATTTTTCTTCAGTCCTTTTCTTCAGAATATAGGATATGCACTTGGTATTTCTAGATTCTTTAGAGTGTTAAAAAGGAAGAATTAAGAAAAGTGTGTCTTGAGCACACAACGTTCACAGTGTTCCTTGTGGGGACAACAGAACAGTTCATTAGTGAACTCGGCTAAACAGTAGTCATTGCAAGCAATTAAGTTTAGTCATCTACTTAACATCACTTCTATTTAACCTTTTCAGGTTGCCTTCATTAGGGCTTTTCACTTAAAATATCATTACAGCATTCACACACAGTACTATATATTTTTAGCATCTTATATAAACTTTGCCACAAATGCCCGTTATATAATCAGCCCCCTCCCCCACAGGCTTACCTCCAGCCTCTCACAGATTTATAGTAGGGGTGTGGAGGGGTGTGTGTCTGTCTGTGTGCCCTGTCCAATGACTGAATATATTCATATTCCAGAGATGGATTTTCCTTCCTCTGAGCAGGGCTGAGAGCACACTAAGAGTGCTTCTTGATACACTTTTCTATTCTCAGCCTTCACTTTTTGCTGCTGCATTTTCATCAGGTGTCATATTGCTGTATTCCTGAGACTGAGAGACTCTGCCTCCTCTCACTGTGTTCGAACAAAGCCCTAGGGCTGAGCTCTAGAGGCAGAAAAGACCTTAGAGATTGTTCCAGTTCCCTTGGATGGCAAATGAGGCCCAGAGAAGCCAGAAGAACTCCTCCCAAATGTACAGGCATAAATACAGTCAGCATCAGGTCGGTATTCCCTGTTACTATGATTTCCAGTAAAATGATCAGCTTCTCAGATCTTGTTGCTGTTGTTATGTGCCGTCGAGTCAAACCCGATTCATAGCGACCCCTCCTTGGGTTTCCGGGGCAGTATCACTACGGAAGTAGGATTGCCCAACCTTCCTTCCGAGGAGTGGCTGGTGGGTTTGAACCGCCAGCCATCTGGTTAGCAGGCAAGTGTCTTAGCCACTATGCTACCAGAGCTCCCACTCAGATTTTAGTTTGCTTATATATAAAATGTGGAGTGTGAAAAGGTGGTCTTAACGCCCATTCGATCTGTATATATAGAAATGCTATTGGGTATGAAGGAGCTCTGGTAGTACAGTGGTGAAAGCATTGGAACCCACCAGCTGCTCCGTGGGAGAAAGATGAGGTAGTCTGCTTCCTAAAGATTTGCAGCCTTGGAAACCCTGGGGCAGCTGTCTGTCCTGTAGTGTCACTATGAGTCGGAACCGACTTGATAGCAGGGGTTTGGTTTTCAGCTTATTGGGTGTGTATTGATTAAACTTTAGAGTTTACTGCTTTCAATGGATTGGGTAGAATATTTTCAACTGAAATGAACCAGGAAAAGGAGGTAATTTTGCTTTATTCTTTAAAGCTTAAACACAATCTCTTTTTTAATGATATAAATAAATGGAAAATTCACTCACAGCAAGAAAAGGAGGTTCAAATACATCTTCAGCTAACTTGTGTACAAGAAAAGCAATGTGTTATGTTATTATTAGAGTTTACTTAACTATATCAGGAGAAGTCTTCTCATGGTGTGGTGGTGGGAGGGTGTTTAGGGGAGGGCAGAAATAAGCAGAGAATGATGGTGATAAGCATTTTCCAAATTAGGAAACAGTTACGTTTTTCTTCATACTTTCTTACATAACTGATCTCATTTTAGAAGACAGCACTAAAAAACTGAAATGAAACACAAATCTCATGATTTCACTATTTTGTTAGCAAATAATGACATGAAGAAATAACGCTGAAAGGAAAGAGAGACGGGGAGCTTCACCCTCTCACACTGTTCCTGGCCCAAGGGCTGGCTGCTTCACAGTATTTTCTCTTTGCCTTCAAGCCTGCTGGGTGAGTCAGAGACTAAAGTCTAAATTTTAGAAAATGAATGAAGAAAGATAGCAATTTTTCTCTTTTTTGAATTTAAAAAGAAATTGCATCAAAGTGCATACCCCTTTCAGATGACACAAGAATGACTGGGTAATGACATGTTCTACTGCCGGAGATTGCTTTGCACCAGACTTCCTGATTCAGAGGGAAGTTGTACAGCACACAAAGGCCACAGCAGCAGTACAGCCTCTTACATAAATAAGTTACATAAATGAGAATGAGTTATATAAATGTATAAACCAGAAAACATGAATTATAACCATTCACAAATGCCAAGGAGAACACGGCAAGATTCCTCCTACAGTCCCCCCCTTTTATTTTTCTCACATTATCATAATTGAGCCATTTTATTTCACACCAGAATTAGATCTGGTGATTTGTCATAATGTATTTATTAGAGAAACTCCAAAAGACACATGATACTTCACACTATTTTCTGAACCATATATTTATAGGGGCAATTCCATAATAAAATCTGATCAATCTACATTGATAAGAAATATATGCATGTTGATCAAGTATTATACTCCTTGTATGATCATACACACATATACTAATTAAATATTTACTATTGTACATTCTTGTAAGCTGCTGTTAAGAACGAGAATGCATCATGTTCACATGCATATGGATACTAGTTCTGGGATTTACGGCTTAAAGTCTCAAATGAGTGGGTGGGCATCTGACTAAAGTCATTTCTCTGCTAATTAAGGAAAGGTAGCAATTTAAATAATTGGAATTAGATTTAAGGTTATAATCATGAATTAATCTCACTGACTCCCTATCGTTCCCCCCCCCCCAAATAATAATAATTAGGAGCTGCTCTTAGGGCTTAGTTGTAATTTGCTTTGGGTAGGATGTGAATGATAAATGAACTTCTTGCCTCTGCACTCTGTTGGAGCAAGAGCTTCAACTTTTTCTCAGTCAACTTTTTTTCCTCATACCTTTTGAGGTAATATATCTGTACCTTCTCTAAAGTTAGGCGCTCTGGTGGCATAGTACCTAAGGCATGTGACTGCTAACCAGAAGGCTGGAGGTTCAAACCCCACAGCCACTCCTTGGAAGTAGGGTTGGGCAATCTACTTCCATAGTGATACTGCCTCAGAAACCCAAGAAAGCTGCCTTGGAAACCCAAGGAGGGGGTCACTATGAGTCACATCTGACTGGATGGCAGTGAGTTTGGTGGGTTTTTTTTGGGTTCCTCTAAAGTTACATTATTTGCTCATTGGGTAGTAAAAACAAGTGTGATTCTAAATATGGTTTTGAACCTTAACTACCTCTTCTATTAAAAAGAAAAAAAAAAAAAAAAACCCAAACTCATAGTGATCCCCTATGGGTTTCCAAGGCAGTAAATGTTTATGGAAATAGGTTGCCCAGTCTTCCTTCCTGGAGTGGCTGGTGGGTTTGAGCCGCCAACCTTCTGGTTAGCAGTCAAATGCCTTAGGCACTACTCCACCAGAGCACCTTTATGCTATATGAAGGAGGATATTAAACATTACCAGTTTCAGACACAGCATGCTTAGGTTAGCATTCCAAAAGCAACTAACTTTACTTTGAAAATCTTATTTCTGGAATTATTTCTATAATCTAACATTAACCTAACAGTAATAGTGGAATGAGAGTTAAAACAAACAAAACCAAACTCACTGCAGAGGAATCAGACTCATACTAATACATCCTTGGGTTTCCCAGGAGGTAACACTATGTAAGTAGATTGCCCAACCTTCCTTCAGATGAGTGGCTGGTGGGTTTGAACCGCCAGTCTTTTGGTTAGCAGCCAAATGCCTTAGGCACTAAGCCATGAGAGTTAGTTGATCTTAAAACCTCTGTATAATATTAGCTGTGTAATTTGGGGCAAATAACTTTCCGTCTCTGGGCCGTTGTTTCCCATTTGAAAAAGGACTCCAATCACTTTCAGCATTGACAATCTAGTACCCTATAATCAAATCGATAAATATTTTCAACTGAGAGTTTTAAACTTGCTGCTGTCAAGTTTAAAGGAAATAAAACCCATTATATACAAATATACAAAGCAGGGTTTTTGTAGACCCTGCTTGGGTTATAGTGATAAGGTAACTGTCATATGAAATACAATTTTTTTCTGATTTCTTTTTAAAATCACCAAATATAGACCTTACCCGGCCCTGGGGGCAGTGTGAAGTGTATAGCTGGCATCCCAGAAACCTGTGGGCTTCCTCCCTCGAGGTGGGGGATGGGTTTTAAACAAGAAAAGTGGCAGGAACTTAACAAGGCCCACTGCCTTGCCCTCTGGAGAGCAGTCGCCTTAGGAAAGTGGAAGGCTGTTTGTTTGTATCTGAAGTTGGATCGCTCTAGACAGAATCAGAAAGTCAGGAGACTTTGTGCAGCCCTAAGCTCCCTGCCTCTACTTGCCCATCTGTAACCTAGGTCATAATGCAGAGCTACACCTGATAACAGCCATGCTACTCAGGGGAGGCTCCCACCAGCTAGGAGGAGGGGGGCGGGTCCCCCACCCAGAAAGGCGAGCGAGTCAGAGGAGGGACTGCGATTTTAGCCTCAGTCTCGCCAGGCCAGCCGCCTAGCAAAGAACGCACACCAAGCACAGACTGGAGGAGAAAAGAAAGGATAGGCCCTAGCAGGTGAGGGAAGTCCAGCGGTTAGGCTAGGGGGAAGGAGGTTCTTTGTTCGCTAACAGCAAGCCGAGCCCTTCTTTTAGGAGAAACCAATTAGATCCACGCTGGGGGATCATCTGACCTCGGGTTCCTCTCCAGGAGGGGGCTCGAAGAGGTGGGGGCCCGGAGATCGGTTTCTCAGGAACGCGGCGGGCAGAAGGGGGAGTCCTGGGCGCGGG